TATATATATATAGTTTTGTGAAACTATGCATAAAAATATATGCATGAAACATACAGCAGACGAGCTGAATGAGACGCAAATTCACTCTCTGCCAGCAGGCGGCGCTTAAAGCGTTTCCTGGTTTCCGCTGTAAACAAAGCAGCGCTGCACTTATGAACTTTAATATGCATTATACAGAGGCAAGATGAAAAGAAAAAATACCATCTAAACTTTTCTAAAGACAGTAAGTTCCCCTCAGACATTCATTCATATAAACTCCTACCCCTAACTGAATCGCGATTTGTTTAGCATCTCAACCGATTTGAATCGTCACATATTTGAATCGATTTTCAACCGGCTCGCGGTTAATCGTTACATCCCTACTTTTCAGCATTGAATAAATTGATTCATAATCAATATTTTTTTCTTCCTCATCCTCCACGTTGAAACTGGGGGGGGGTTCCACTTAGCTTGTTGCTGTTTGTTCTGGGATTGCAATGTGATTTTATAATGTCACGTCGATCACGATAACGGTTGTCATGGACAATTCTTGATTGGAGTTCAGACTTTGTTGCTTTGTTGGCAGTGTCACTCTTCTATATGCAGTGGGCGTTTGTACTATTGAATTTCATGTTTGAGCTATATTGGAGGCTCGAGATCTGTATAGGGAACACAGCACTCTAGAGAAAATAAAAAATATCAGCTGACTTTTAAATAGGGCAAACGGAACAGGCTTGCTTTTGTCCTGAATATTGCGAGTACTCTGACCTGTTTAGTGTCTGTTGATAGGACTAACATTTCCAGAATCCGAAATAGGAATTGTGTACAAAATGGCAAAACAGAGAAACGCAAGCCTAATGACTCAAATATACAAATTAGGCACAAATATACAAATTTAACATGACTGACCACATGTAAATGAACACTTTCCAAATTCTCTTCTTGAAACCCATACTAAAATAGCTTATTTTACCCCCTAGGCCTAAGGTGCGGGCACAATTGCGAAGTTTCACAGGCAAAAAAGGACCATTGTCTATTGTAAAATAGTGTAATAAGGTATGAAGCACAGCTCACACAGAAGTCACTGTCAAACCAAGCAGCTTTCTGTTGGTCACTGCGGCAAATCTGCCTGACCAACTTCAACCCATTGCTAAATCTGTGAGGGAATCTGACCGGCCTGCAATACGTTTGATTGGGATTGATGGTGAATATATCAGTTTTGCCTCTTTAATAATCTCAGCAAAGCATTGCCGATGATCAGTTTCAAACAAGATGCTAAGTTTTTGAAGAACAGTAAAGTCAAGGGCTGTTTTAGTAAAAGAAACTCAACTTGCTTTTCAAAAAAGTTAGGGGTGCGCTGATCCGATATTCAGTATCGGTATCGCTCCAATACTGGCATTTTCTGCTGGATCGGGGTATCGGTCAGACGAGACCGATCCAAATCCAATATAGTGCGTATACTATTCTGTGTTATTATTAAGCCCCACGAAAGCCAAAAAAACATTATAAAGCACCATAAAGTTTTCGTGCACTATATTTCAAGTGTTCTGAAGCTTTTCCATAGTTTAATGTGCGGTACATATGAATATTTAAGTCAAGTTCACGTTAACTCTTCTCTCCACAGCGGCTGTCTGTCATCCTCCTTTCAGCATTCAAACTGTGTGTCACGTTCGGTTATGACAGTCAAGACGATGAAACTCTCTCCAAGATGATTAAATGTTCCTAATGTTATACTTGATCTGTAAATAAAGATAAATGGTTTTGCATAAAAGGAATTTATCTTGCTGGAGTTTCGTGCTGTTTCTAAATCGTGTCAATTTCTACCGGATATCTGGTTAGATCACAAGACTGGAGTAGAGAGCACTATGAATTGTTCGTCATGAGCACAGTAACTGAAATGTAAAACTGTTTTAAAAAAAAGAAAAGGCTCAATAAACGAACGCACATATTTAATACACTACGCATCAATATCTCTTCACTTTGTGCTTTGACTTGTTTCAATCACGTCATTCTGCGCACGGGATGCGCATAAGCACTTTGTGCCGCTCTGTATTTGTAGCCTTTAGTATCATAATACTTTTGCGCAATGAAAGATTATTAATAGACTTTCTTGTTCATCTTATCTATCATATGCTGCTGCCTCATTACTCTGCTATACATTTAAAAGAAATGTCTTTTAATTTATACAGTAGTCAACATTTGAAGTGGATCAAAAAAGTTAATCAAAGTTTTCCTAAGACAAGAACGGGTATTGTTTGGTTTTAGGGCAACTTTGATGAAAGGTTTTGATCCACTTCAAATGTTGACTACTATAGTGTATATTTATATATAAATATATTACTTGTTTTTCATGAATGTATTTTACAACAATACAAAGAGCAATGTGTAGTCCTACCAGATTTAGCCCTCACTTTTATTTGTTACCCACAAAATAATACATTTTTTTTTTCCACTAAAAGTTTAGGATTTTATAAAATTATTGTGCACTCATGATTTTTCTAGAGTAACTTTTGCTACTGAATTATCCATTAACCTAGTTTATAATAGTATTTTTGTCATAGATATTTTTTTGTTTGTTATTTTTTCTTTATAATGAAGCTGTCTATATTTAGTAGATTGTGTGTAGCATACAAAAGAGTGATGATCGACCTACACATTGAGGTATAGAAATTCTACACTCATTTAAAAAAAACTGCACTGGTATCAATATCGGTATCGGCAGATACTCAGAATTTTTGGTATCGATTCTGAAAAAGTGGTATTGAGCCATCCCTAAAAAAAGTTACCCAAATTCTTTACTTGCAGCCAAGTGAAGTTTTGCAAAAGTGTTTGATTTATAATAAGAAACTACTAGTTGAACTGCTTTTAATATGTAAGGTGATCCAGACTGTAGTAACGGCAGGTCTGTGCAGCCTTGTTCCCCAGTGCTGCGGTTCTTGAATCTGACACATGAGCAGAGAGGTTATTGAGGGCAATGTGTTGATCACGCCAAGGTCAATGCTGAAATGGTCTTTCAGACAAGAGACGGCCACTCCTTCATAACTCTCAAGCCTATGTACTCAGTGACATGAATCCACGCTGTTAACCAGTAACAGAAGTAGAGGACCACTTCACTGAATTTTGATTAAGATGCAAATCACCACTTGAGGTTTCTGTGAAGGGAGTCCCTTAAAATGAGGCCCCATTCAATTTCTTCATCATTTCTCTTTTTTCTTCTTCCAAATGTTCCAAAGCAGCAGTTGTCAGTTCAGTTTGGATGTATTAGTGATTCAACTAATCTCACACTTTGCATTTTTAAATGTCTTGTCATGTCTTTGCAGGTATCTTATCAGTCAAGGTGCAAACGTCGGTGTAGTAAACAGCGAGGGAGAAACGCCATTGGATATCGCAGAGGAGGAGGCCATGGAGGAGCTTCTGCAAAACGAGATCAACCGGCAAGGTACTGCTGCCTCTCCTTGACGCATTACACAGGCACTCCAAACTTCATCTTTCATGACAATGATTTGCAAGGGTGTACAAGGCTCAGTGTCATGTCCATGTCATGCTACGGTTGAGATCATTGCTTTCTGATGATTCTGAGGCAGTTCTTCAAATTAATTGCCTTGCTCGGATGGCCAAGGGTGATATTTGCAGCATGCTCAACTTTCCCAGCTGCCGTGTGCTCGAGTCGAGGCTGCAAGTCTTGGCAGGACTCCAGCGGGTGCACTGACTCAGAATTAATATTAGAGCCGTGCTCAGCCAGTAGCGTAACACACAACACCCTTTCTCCTGTGTCCACTCTTAACTTGCCTGTTGACCTGGCTGAGTACTTGATGTCCGAGGTATATCATGCTTGTGCAGAGTCATAAAGGATTTAGGGAGGTGTGCGTGTGACTGGCTGTAGTGAGGTCCCTTGTAGTGAGGTGACCTGATGCCCGTTGTAATGATCCTAAACTAGATGAAATGCTTTTTCTATTTTTGGCCTTTGCCCTTCTTGATGATGAAATGGAGCCCAGCTGCTACTGAGAGGCCCTGTTCAGACATGCGTTAACAGCCTGAGGGGGTGTGTGGCTCCTTGTTCACTAGGATGTATCAGCAGCAGAAGTAGTACAGTTTCTGCACTGGCTCATGAGAGGAGGCGAGAGCGGCTGGTGATGGAGGCGTAGCTAGGGCTGCACGATTAATCGAATGTGATTGTCATGCGCATCTTGTCAGTAAAGCCCGGTAATCAGTAGTAAATCTCTATCACGTGCTTTCAGATGGAGCAGCATTTCAGTGACAAGCCGTAGTTCACTGACAAGCTATGCAAAATCACGTTCATAATCGCAGACGATACAATCACGCGATAATGAAATAGAAGAAATCGTTCTGCGATTGTGAAAGCTGTTTGCGTTGCTTGTCAGTGAACTACGGCTCTGTGTAGTAAAAGCACATGAAAATACCACATTTAATACCATGTTTTTACTCCAAAATACACTTCATAACGTCAGTCGAGGGCTTGAAATAAATCCTTCTGTGAAATTATGTGGCTTCTTACACAGAATAAGGCACGCAACATATTTCATAGTATTCTATGCAGTGATAAAGTTATATTAAAAATGTCCTGGCTCTTCTATGCAGTGGCAGTGAATGGGTATCGAGATTTTTAAGCTTTTAAAAAGTGTCCATCCATCATAAAAAGTGCTCCACACGGCTCCAGGGGGTTAATAAAGGCCTTCTGAAGCAAATCGATGTGTTTGTGTAAGAAAAATATCCATATATAAAACTTTATAAACCGTAATCTCTAGCTTCTGCTGTCTGTTATTCTCACGTTACCGCGGATGATGTAGGACGTAGGCTTAGCGTTAGTGGTCGACCGATATATCAGCCGATATTTGACATTTTTCAAATATCGGCATCGGCCGATAAGTTTTCCTCTTTGGCTGATGTGTTTGAGGCAGGACTTTTATTTTGACGGCGCTGAGAACGGCTGTGCCTGAGCACACACTGCTCACATTCTCCCTCTTGTTCGCTGTCGTCGTTCAGTTCTGTCTAATATGGATAGAAGTCTATCTAATAATCAGAACTGTTAAACAAAGGAATTAAAATGTATACAAAAATGTATTATAACGATTGCTTTAATATTATTCGTAATAGAAAGTCAAACAACCAAGTGGATGCTGCACACTGGTGGTGGTTGAGGAGAGCTTCACTGGAGACGCGGGATCGACAAACTTTAAACTAGTGATTTCAAATTATACTCCGCTTTATGCATTTGCCCACTGTCATATTCTTGTCATTTTCATTGCGTGCTGTATGTAAAATGAGTGTTACCTTGGCTTTATTTGAAAAAAAAATATAAATAAAAAAAAAAAAATTAAGATTTCCAATGCACACAAACTTCCCAGAATACGGAGTGCCCTGTTGGTTACAGTGTTTACTTCCTTTTTAATTCGATTTTTATTAAATATTTATTTGTGAATAATGCTTTGTCTTCTAAAGTATAAGCATGTTTATTTTACACAATTATTTTTAATCCATTTTCAAATGATTTTAGATTTCTTAAATATAAATGCAAATATGATATAATAAATGAAAAAATGATATCGGCTTTATATCGGCCATCGGCCACCCTGCTTTCCAAGATATCGGCATCAGCTGTCAAAAAACCCATATCGGTCGACCACTACTTAGCGTATGCTCCGGTGAGAAGTGAGGAACACGGAAGCACAGAGCAGAGAGCAAAACAAAACACCGGTCACAAATTAGAAGTACAAAACGAGGATTTGTAAATAACAATGTTGGAGGATTTCGATATGAGCCAAGAGGAGACCCTTGCTGTAAACAAAAATTGGTTCTCGCGAAACTAGCATATTCTCACCGGAGCTTACACTACACCCAAGTCATCCGCTGGAACACCACTCTCGTGAACGCGCATGGGCTTCAAAATCTTGAGCCCCATTCACGGCCATTATAAAGCTTGGAAGAGCAGGTAAGATTTATGATTCTCATTACGAATTTGGGAAGATGTTTGTCGCACGTATCACATTGTCACATGACTTTAAAAAAAATTCACAAAAATGTTACTGAGCAACTGACGAGTAACAGTTTTAGCGCAGATTTTCCTTGCGCTTTGGACTTTAAAACCTGGCGCCACGAGCTTGTGCAGCGCTGTCAGAATACATGCAATTTGTGTGTGCATTAGAAAATATAACATTCTGCAGTTTATTTACTAATCGTTTGAGGCCATTTCGCGATTTCTCCACCTCTTCTTCTCATCGGAGACTAAACGATCTAAACGTTTAGAAACTAAACGGTCTCTCGCTGTCGGTGCTTTGTACTTGTAATGATTTCTGCATCTTTCTCTGATAGATTTAAATATTTTCACACTGCCGACATGTTTGCTGCATTAGTGCATGCCTCTATTTGATCGCGTTAGTCATTCTTCGGTACATATTATTCGGCCTTTTAGCTTATTCGGCCGAACACTGAAAGAGATTTATTTTTGCTGTTTTCGGCCGAATAATTTCGGTTGCCGAACATTCGGTGCATCCCTAGCATTAAGTCCATCATGGATGGTGACATAATCTGACTTTTTGGATGAAGAGGATTAATGTACCTTATGTAAAAGAGCCCCAAAGGCCCCAATATACTCTAAGGGAAGTTATTTGCAGAGGTTTACTGTTAGCAAACATCTCAACACTTTCAATTAGAATGGCAATACCATGGACCAATTTTGCCAGAACAAAATTTTCCGTAAAGTTTGTAAACCAAACCAAACCAAACCAAAGCGAATGCCAAACGAACTTCGTTTTGGTCTTTTGTTCGAAATGACGTCACACCAGTTTGTTCCTCGATTTCGCTTCAAGTACATCATGGATTTACTTAACTGACCTAAAGTGAATGCTTTAGTTGTAAACCCAAGCTCCTGTCCACTGCTTTTGACTGTTGTTTAGTGCTCTTGTGGAGGTCAGTTTGTCTCTTGCTTTTTATAGAGGCTGCATATTCTCCTGGCACTTTTGTTCTACCTGTTTTTACTCGTTACGTGCAGCCGAGAGAAAAGAGCCATTGTGCTCATCAGCTGTCTGTTACACAATGCACTCAAACCTATTAAGAAGGAAAGACAAAGCAAAGCTGTTTTTCCCCCCTCCGTTGGCCGTGTTGAATCAGCAGAGCCACTGGTGATATCTCTACGTGTTCACCATTTTGAGCAATCTGCATCTCGAGAGGCCGTCCACAGTATATCCTCTGCCTTTTGTCCTGGGTTACTGAGAAGTGCTGGTGCTCTGGTTTGCTCTGGCAAATAAAGGACTGATGTTCTCAAGCAGAGAAGTCACACGGATGGCAGCACGTGTAGTTCGGGTGTGTGGCGTTGTGACCGAATTACGAATGACCACTGACATGCACTTAGAAATCACCAGCTCTCTTTGAAAGTGAATGGCTTTTGCAAATCACTGTGCTTGTAAACAAACTTTAAGGCTCCTGTTATTGCTTAAAAACGGCTGGTCAGTTGAGACACATTGCTGTTTAGATCTAAATGTCTAACTTAACCCAAGGATCCATTTTTGGCCAATATTGTTTTATTTTTTTCATTTAGTTGCTTTCATGTTTTTGGTATTTTTTATTTTAAGTAGTTTTGTTTCATTTTTGTGGTTTTTGTTTTGTTTTTTAGGTTCATATTCGTTATTTATGTTAAATCCTGAAAAATGCTATTTTAGTAACACTGCTAAATGCCATTCTTTGCAGATCTTAATATAAATATCCATCCTTCATACCGTACCACCTAAATTCAATTAAGTTTTAAATTGAACAGTTTTATGATTTTTTTTTATCTTTAATATCAATGATTTAGTGGTTACCGACCATAGCATGAATACATTGATCAGCTTATCTTAGGACTGAACTATTTTGGAAAATAATCTAATTGCGATTTTTTTGACCAGTATTGCCATTGCGATTTAATATGCAATTATTTTTTTTAAAGCTCTTTATGTTCTGTATTATTCAACAAAGACAAGCTATAAATCATTGTATAGTATGACCAACAGGATATTAGATAGATTAAGCATAAATGTTCTTTTCTGTAGGCCAGGCCTATATGTTATGATGAAATTAGGTGATGCATGAATTGATATGAATGACATTTTTATTTAACAACTACAATCACAGTATATTGACTGATTTGTTGAACTTCCAACCTTGTAAGCATGTAATAATTATGACAACATAAAGCACTGACAAATAAGCCTGGTGTAAACATTAATATGAAAGTCAGTAACAAATCACACAAACTAAAGTAGATTGTAGAAATATAAAAACAAATCTGTTGCTTTACCACACTACTTTAGGTAATTCAAAGTCACTGTAATAAACATATGTACACATGTGCACTGCACTTTTTAAACACTGTCTGTTAACTTTAGACCAGTGGTTCTCAAACAGACTACCAAATAATTTCACTAAACATTGTGAAAAATGTATACTTTCTTAATTTAAAAAACCTACCGGGAAAAAACACCTGCATCACTTGAAACATTGCAAAATAGCATAGAGAGAATAACTTATTATTCTCTCGCTGTTATTTATAATTTTTTTTTATTTTTTGTGGGT